CATCTCGTTGGGAGTCTTCCTCTTTTTCTCTGACCTTCCACCTCACCAAACATGATGTCCTTTTCCAGCGACTGCTCCCTCCTGACAATATGTCCAAAGTATGAGAGACGAAGTTTGGCCATCCTGGCCTCCAAGGAGCACTCTGGCTGCACTTCTTCCAAAATGGATCTGTTGGTTCTTTTGGCAGTCCATGGCATTTTCAATATTCTCTTCCAACACCACAACTCAAAGGCATCATTCTTCTACAGTCTTCCTTATTCACTGTCCAGCTTTCGCATGCATATGAGGTTATTGAAAATACCATGGCCTGGGTCAGGTGCACCTTAGTCTTCAAGCTGACATCTTTGCTCTTCAACACTTTAAAAAGTTCCTGTGCAGCAGATTTGCCCAATGCAATTGTCGTCTGATCTCTTGACTGATGCTTCCGCGAGTGTTGATAGTTGATCCAAGAAGAATGAAGTCCTTGACAACTTCAATCTTTTCTCCATTGATAAGAATGTTGTTTATTGGTCCAGTGGTGAGGAGTTTTGTTTTCTTGACATTGAGATGTAATCCATACAGAAAGTTGTGTTCCTTGACCTTCATCAGTAAATGTTTTAAGTCCTCTTCACTTTCAGCAAGCAAGATTGTATCATCTGCATATCACAGGTTTTTAATGAGTCTTCCTCCAATCCTGATGCCATGTTTTTCTTCATAGAACCCAGCTTCTCGGATTATTTGCTCAGCATACAGGTTGAATAAGTATGGTGAAAGAATACATACTTGTCGCACACCTTTCTTAATTTTAAACCGTTCAGTGTTCCCATGTTCTTTTCGAGCAACTGCATCTTGGTCCAGGTATATCTCATGAGCACAATTAAGTGTTCTGGAATATTTATACTTTGCAATGTTGTCCATAGCTTGTCATGATCCACACAATCAAAAACCTGTGAGTAGTCAATAAAACACAGGTAAACATCTTCTGATATTCTCTGCTTTCAACCAAGATCTATCAGACATCAGCAGTGATGTCCTTCATTCGACAGCCTCTTTTGAATCCAGCTTGAACCTCTGGAAGTTCTCTGTCAATGTATGATTGTAGCTGTTTCTGTATTACCTTTAGTAAAACTTTACTCACATGGGATATCAAAGAGATTGTCCGATTATTTCTGCATTCCATTGGGTTATCTGTCTTTGGAATGGGCACAAATACGGATGTCTTCCAATCAGTCGGCCAGATAGTTGTCTTCCAAATTTCTTGTCATAGCTGAGTGAATGCCTCCTGTGCTGCCTCACTTTCTTGAAAGATTTCAATTTGTCTTCCATCAATTCCTGGTGCTTTGTTCTTTGCCAATTCCTTCAATGCACCTTGGACTTCTTCCTTCAGTATCATTGGCTCTTGATCATAATGCTACCTCTTGAAACTGTTGAACATTAACCATTTCCTTTTGGTACAATGACTGCGTATTCCTTCCATCTTCTCTTTATGCTTTCTGTATCATTCAATAATTTGCCCAGAGAATCTTTCAATGACGAATGTCCAGGGTTGAATTTTTTCTTCAGTTCTCCCAGCTTGAGAAATGCTGAGCGTGTTCTTCCTTTTTGGTTTTCTGATTCCAGATCTTTGCACATTTTGTTGTAATATTTGGCTTTATGTTCTCTAGCTGATCTTTTAAATTTTCTGTTCAGCTCTTGAACCTCCTCATTTCTTCCATTTGCTTTAGCATCTCTATGCTGGAGAACAAGTTTCAGAGTCTGACATCCATGTACCTGTGGGTACTCGGTGACAACCTGCCCCAGGCTTTTCCTCAGCAGTAGCACAGGGGGGCCCCTGTCTGTGTGGCTCTCAGGCCTGGGCCTACCCTGTTTGCCCACCTCAGCCCCAACCCCTGGGATGTCAGCTGAAGATGGGCAGCAGGTGGAGGGCAGCGCCGGAGGAGGGTGGGCTTGAGCTTGCTGTATGGTCTTGTTGCAGGAGGACATGGCCGCCCACGTGGGTGCGTCGCGGACCCCCCAGGAGGTCATGGAGCACTACGTGAGCATGTACATTCACGGCAACCTGGGCAAGGCTTGCATCCCCGACACCATCCCCAACCGCGTCACGGACCACACCTGCCCGGGCGGCGGTCCGCTCTCCCCCAGCCTGACCACGCCGTTGCCCCCGCTCGACATTTCGGCAGCCGAGCAGCAGCAGCTGGGTTACATGCCGCTGCGGGACGACTACGAGATCGAGTACGACCAGGAGGCCGAGGCACTCATCAGTGGGCTGTCAGTCAACTATGACGACGATGACGTAGAGATCGAGCTCAAGCGCGCCCACGTGGACATGTATGTGCGGAAGCTGCGCGAGCGGCAGCGGCGCAAGAACATCGCCCGGGACTACAACCTGGTGCCGGCCTTCCTGGGTAAGGACCGCAAGGACAAGGAGAAGGCCGCCCGGCGCAAGGTGGCCAAGGAGGAGAAGGAGCTGCGTCTGCGTCTGCGGCCCTTGTGCCAGTTCATGTCGTGCAAGGAGCTGGACGAGCTGTTTGAGAGTATGCACAAGGAGAAGGCGCTGAGGGCCAAGATCCGCGAGCTGCAGCGCTACCGGCGCAACGGCATCACCAAGATGGAGGAGTCGGCCGAGTATGAGGCCGCGCGGCACAAGCGGGAGAAGAGGAAGGAGAACAAGAGCCTGGCCGCCTCCAAGCGCGGCAAGGATGACGGCCGCGATGGCGAGTTCGCGGCCATCGAGCACCTGCCTGGCTTCGAGCTGCTCTCGGACCGCGAGAAGGTGCTGTGTAACTCACTGACCCTGAGCCCCGCGCGCTACCTGACCGCCAAGACCATCATCATCAAGGATCACCTGCAGAAGCGCCAGGGCATTCCCGCCAAGAGCCGCCTCCCCAGCTACCTGGACAAGGTCCTGAAGAAGAGGATCCTGACCTTCCTCACCGAGAGCGGCTGGATATCCAGGGACGCCGCCTGAGAACGCCTTCCTGTGTCCTCGCCCCGCCCCGCCCCGCCCCGCGGGAGCACAGGTGGGCAGGCGTGCTGCCAGGTGCCTCCTCCAGACCCCATCCTCTGAGCACACTGTTGATGGAGGAAGGTGCCCAACAGCCAGCCCAGCCCGCACGGGGCACTTTAGATGGGCGGGTGGTGGGGCAGTGCCTTCTCCGCGTCTGCGGTGAGTGGGCAGGAGACACCTAGGAAGGGGCCTCAGAGAGCTGGAAGGCGGCTTCAGTGGGTCGCGGGGCTCCGAGCTTCCACGCATAGACTGCTGATGGGGACCTGCGCCCGGCCTCTCCAGCCCCCCTAGAAGCACACCCACAGCGGGGCCGCAGTGCTGGCCTGCCTCCTGCAGCTGGCCGAGAGCTCAGGGGCCTCGATGAGCTTCCTCTCGATCTTCTGCCCCAAGGAAGGTCCAGACCCACAAGAGCCAGACCAAGACCCGGATTGTCCGGGAGGATAGGGCACGGTCCCCAGGTGCCTGCCACCTAGAGGCGGCATCTTGACTTGGGACTCACCTCAAAGGGTGCCTGGGCTTAGTCACATTAAAGTTGTTTGAAAGAAAAGACATTTTGTAGTCTTTTCCAATGACACACCCCTCCCGGTGCCTTTCCCTCTTTTGACCCTGGGGGGAGGGGGGGGTTGGTGGCTGAATTAAACCATTTTAAATCAATAGCATGCCCTGGCTGAGGGGTACCCTTAGTCACCTGTCCCATGGGGAACCTGGCTGAGGCTGTGTTTTCACACCTGTCTTAGCCAGCGATTCTGTATTACCAAGGGACCCCACTCCCTCCTCTTGGGTTGAGAACCACTGGTTTTAGCTATGCCAGCATCTCATTCCAATCACCCTAGAGAGCCCCAGCTTAGTGAGTTTACCATTTATTTTTCAGTGAAGACGCCATATCCCCATAGTGAATGCAGTCTGTAAGGGACGGACGTGTGGGGCTCCTCAGTCCAGCCGCTGCTGCAATGTGCTCCTCCCTGGCAGCGCTCAGAGCCGAGATCCTGGGGGCTTTAGGTGTTCCCATCTTACCCTATGTTAACTTGGAACCCAAAGTAAGGTTCTTTTCCGCTCTTCCCAGAAAGATGGGGACAGGCCGGGGGTGGGGGGTGCTCCAGCTTCTCCATGTCGGGGTGCTCTCTGAAGCTTTCCCACTGAGCCACGTCCTGGAGCATGGCAGCCAGAGCCTGTTGGAGTGCATGCCCAGGAGCGCAGGCCTGGGGAGGGGGCGGCCCGTCCAAGGATTGCTGAGCAAGCCTGAGGGTGAGGCCACCCGAGAGCACCAGGAATGACTGAGTGCTTCCTGCACTGTGGCCTCCAGCACTCAGCTATGGCCTCGTGAGCAGGGGTCCACATGGGCCAAGGGTCCCACTGCAAGGGGTACACATCTAGGCCCACCACAACCCAACTCCCAAGACATGCCACTCACTCACGTGTGTTCCCAGAGAGCCCAGCAGCTTTCCAAGGAGGAAGAGGGTTTAATCCTCTTAAGAGTCTTAAATGTCAATATCTGAAGTCAGCAAGGAAATATACCTCAAGGTTAATAGAACTTTAAATTGAGATGAAAACATCTCCAGTTAGAAAACCAGTAAAAAGAAGAGACCCTTGTTAAATCCAGTTACAGGCAAAGACAAAGGTGGCAAAGTACAACGTTCCCGTTACCCCTGCCCCAGCATTACGGAAACGTCTTCAGCCAGAACACCACGACTTGCCTCCTAACCGAACGCTGCGTGGCATTCACCGGAGCAGCGCGGCAGGCAGCCAGACGCAGATTCCAGAAAACAACTTTATTTGTTGGAAATCCCTTTGAGGCACCAGCTTGCCCAGATACAGCATATGTGGGTCTGGGGGTTGTGCTAACATCGGTGGACAGGCCGTACAGTTTGGTAACCAGCTTTGTTTTCGGTTAGCTCCTGGCTGCTTACGGTTCCTAACAGGGCAGGGAGAGGCCGAAGTGGTCATCGGAGATGAAGACAGGCAGCCAGTCTGTCCAGAGGCACAGTAAGTGACTGCAGACCAGTTCACGCAGCAACTAGGCCTCCTTGACCACGCCGACCAGGGCGGGCCGTAGTGTGCGCCCGTGCAGCTTGTAACCCACTTTGCTGACCAGTGCCACCGTGCCCGGCTCCTTGCCCTCCACCGGTGCGTGGAACAAGGCCTCGTGCTCATAGGGGTCAAACTTGGCCCCGACAGGGTCCAGCCTGAGCAAGCCGTGCTTCATGAACACTTTCTGAATCTGGACCTCGGTCATGACCAGGCCTTCATAGAGGCTCTTGAGGTGAGGGTTGTCCTCGCGGACCTCGTCCAACGGGACGCTCTGTGTGGCCTTTTCCAGGATGTCCGCCACCTCCAGCAAGTCTTTGCAGAAGCCCTGGATGCCTGTAAGAGGGGAGGCACGAGCCACACAGTAGGTTGGCCTGGGGGGTCTCTGGCCCAACAAAAGTGACCCCCGAGCCACCTGAGGGCAGAGCCGTGGGGGAGGGAGGACCTTGGCTCTGAGAGCCGGGCAGAGGAAGAGCGCCCCCCAAGGAGGAAACTGAGCACCTGCCCTACAGTTCCCTAATCTCTCGGGTCCCCAATTCTGAGTCCTGAGCTGTTCTTCATCTAGAATGTGAGCCGTCCCAGCTGACTCAGTGGAGCCGGTGGTAGGTGCGCCCAAGCGCTCTAGGCCTCCAGCACCCACTGTGAGATGGGAGGCCACGTGTAGGTGACATAAAGGGAGCCCAGCTAGCGCAGTGGGTCAAGTGTTAGGCTCATAATCACAAGGTCAGCAGTTCAAACCTAGCCGCCCCTCCGTGAGAGAAAGATGAGAGTCTGGGAAACCCTGGAGACTAGCCCACTGTGTCCTCCAAGGGCCCAGGAGCTGGCACACTGGGCTGACAGTGGGTTTGCTGAGGGTGTGTTGTGAAATCAATGTCTGGACTTGTTGGAGTTCTCTGCTTCATGAGGAAGAGTGAGTGTCCTCTTAGTAACACCCCCCCCACACACACTGGTTTCACCACAGGCCCAATGAACAGTACGTGCTCCTCAGCGTGGTTATCTCTAAAGGGGGTTCATCTTGGAGCCCTGCACCACGGCCAGCCAGCCCTGGGGACTTCTGGACACAGTCCTCCCGAGAGCCCTGACCACTGGCAGCACATGTCTAATTACCATAGAGTTTGGCATCCTCCACCAGTTTTTGGCTCCTCTGCCGCAAGTTCTCAGTGTCTGCCAAAGCACGCTTATATTTTTCCTAAAAAAACAAATGAACATGAATAAAAACAGAAGAAATCAGGAAACTGCAGGCCAAGTAAGTCGGGGACTGCCCTAAGCTGTCCATCTACCGATGGGGCAGCAACAGAAGAGAGACTTCAAACGGAGCAATTGCCACCACGTGGGAAGCTGCTGCCATCTGCAGACACACAGGCATGGACCACCGCCCTTGTGGCTGCAGTATCGGCAGCTAAAGGCAGGCAGAGGCTAGCAGAGCAGGTTCCTGAAGTCTGGTATCCCATGGAGTGAAGCCCCCGCCCGCCTGCCAGCCTCTGGTGTTGACACTTCCGTGTGACCACCACTCCTCACGGCCCACTCTTCTGTCCTCTCATCTCCTGAGTCTGCCTAACATCTACTCCGCGTGCTCCAGCCTCACAGCGCGGAAGGATGCCAACATTTGCTTCATGGCGTTCTTCAATCCTTAGAGAACCTGATTTTTATCACATTCCTGACCAGCTGGCAGAATTCACACCTCCTCACTAGCAGCTCGGCTAAGTTTTCAGTTCCACCCCAGCCCCAGCTCAAAGCATCCTGAGGAAACGCTCCTTTGCAGACCTGAATTTTAGCCTTCACAACAATCCATGAAGCACGACAGGATTCTTACGACAGAACCAGAGCCACGAAGACTTGGACAGGTGCCCACAGAAGACACCCAAGTTCAATACTGGGCTCCAAATGCGTCCTAACAGTTCATCAGCTGAATGGCTCTGCTCGGCCCTGCCAGTCATCCTGATGTGGGCCGTGGGGTGATCTGGGTGTGGGGAGCTGGTCTGTCACCTCTCATTTCTGAGCAGGGCACCACTGCCCATTTGCTACTCAGGTCAAAGACGGGCTTGCAGACTTCTCTGCTCTGCGGCAGGTCTCACCGTGGTCTCCTTCAGCTGTTCCTCCAGCCGGACCTTCTCCTCCACCAGCACCTTCTCTGAGGACGGCGGCTCCGCCTTCTGGGTGCTTGCACCGGGGTCCTCCTCCAAGTTCTGACCACTGTTCTTCTGTTTGGTGGCTGTGCACAGAGATCGAGGAGCGGACCTACGGAGAAGCCACGAGTTAGACGTGATTTTCCTAGCTTGCTTGTTACATTTAGATGTCGGGTTTCAGGAAAATGGAATAGGTAGGCTCCCACAGGGGTGGTGACTGCGCCTGGGGGGCCCGGGCTGGAAAACGCGAGGCGAGAACTCTACCACCGCCCCCCACTGGACACAGCGGGAACCTGGTGTGTCCACACACAGCACGATCCCCCACTCCAGACCCCCACGGCCGTGCCCCCGGACACGTTAGGGCTTAAAAGGTGTCAAAGGTACCCGGTGCCTAGCAGGGCCGAATGGGAGGCTTCCTGCCCAGGGACACGGGTGACGCGCGGCGGGGAAGCTCGGGTGCAAACTCCTCCGGACACCCGGACTCTGGGCATTGCCCAGCTGACCGCACGCCCAAGGTCACAGCCATCAGCAGCCACGCTCAGTCCCACGAGCACCGCTTCTCCGCCAGGCCTGGGGCGTGTCGTGCTCGTAGACAGCCATCCCTTTCTTCCGAGGGCGCGCAGGCAGCTCCACAGGGACCCTGCCGGCGACCACTCCTCAGCGCCGACGCGGAAGGTACCAAGTAGCTTGGGAGCCAGGGCGATGCGCCCGGCCGTTTGCTCCCCCGCGGCCCCGTGACCCGAGATGCGGCGGTGGCGGAGGGCCGGCGGGGAAACGCGCCGCTCAGCCTCCGGCCCCCGCGCCGGTCGGCCGCGCTGTCCCGGCGCCGCACGCGAGGAAGGACACTCCTTCCACTCGGGGCCCGCAGACACCCAGCTCGAGGGCCCGCCCGAGGACCCACACCTCTGACCGAGGCTGTGGAGCCCTTACCCAAGAGGCCGCGCCAAGACCGGGAGAACGCGCCGCGCCAGCCCCACGCACCGAGCCGCCATGACGCCCGCCACCACTGCGCACGCGCTTTCGGGCCGCGCAACACGCTCAGATTCCCGTCTGCTTCCACCCACCTACCCAATCAGCCAATCGGCAACCGCAGAGCCTATGATGGATAGACAACCCTCACCAATACTTGAGGGCCGTGGGCGGGGTTTGAGGCCTCAGGCAGGCCAGAAGGTGAAGTGGTGAAAGGTAAAGGGAATAGGGGGTGGAGACACCGTGGGCGGGGCGTAACCGGGGAAGAGCCAATGGGGAGGCAGTACGGAGGCAGGGGTTCCGGCTGTGATACCGCCTACCCCTACTCCACCCCCTGTCCCCTCCCCGGACCCACTAGACCCATTTCACTGGCGTGGAGACTGAGGCGCGTGAGTGACGCACTTCAGACCTTCCCGGTTTCGGGCCGGCGTCCACGTCCGCCTGGCATAAGCTCGGGTCCGAGGCGGGTCCGTGCCGGGTTCTTGCCACGCTCTTGTATCTTCATGAGGAAGATTGACCAGTAGCCATTTCAGGCCTTTTAGGAAGTGGGGAAGGCCTTCGGGCAAGCTGAGTGATGCTGCCCCACTTTGGGGCGAGGCAGGAGGCCCAGGAGAACTGAGACGGTGTCAGACAATACGACACAATTTTCAGTTTTGATGTTGGGTGATAGGGATATGGGTATACGGTTACTGTTAATGTTGTGTGTGTGTGTGTGTGTATTTTTCCATCTCTTTCAATTTCCTTAAAATCAGAAACAATAAATAACAGGATGAACAGCATTAGGAAACGTTTGGGGGCACACTTCAAACTCGGGAGGTTCAATCTTCGTTCATCCGATTGACGTCACTGCTTCTGGCCTTGAGGTCAGGGACCTGGTGCTGGGCGAGGCGCCCACTTGAGCTATGACCCTCGGTCCCCCTCCAGCCTGGGACCCCGGGGACCTTGCATATGGCTGCCAAGTAGAGAGCCTGCTGGGATATTACTTTCGTTGAAACAAATTCTTCAGTTTTATTGCCATTAAAACCATTTATCCAGCTAATGTGGACAGGCGCCAAAGGTGGGACAGCCCATCGGCACAAAAGACCCACTTTTCTAACCAGTTCAAACCAAGCCACTGCCATGAAGTCGATTCTGACTCATTGGGATCCTGGACAGGGTTTGCAAGGCTATATAGCTTTACAGAAAGCCTCCTATTTCTCTCACGTAGCAGCTAGTGTGTTTAAACTGCTCACCTTGCAGTTAGCAGTCCAGTGCTTATCCGATAGCGATTCCGACTCAGGGCGACCCTGTACAGGGTTTCTGAGGAGCATCTGGTGGGTTTGAACCGCCTACCCTGTGATTCACACCAGGAGTCCTGTCCTCGCTATCACCGGCCTGGACAAAATAAAGCCACTGGGACTTTCAGAGACCAAAGGAGTTAAGAGATGTAACTGAGTCTAATGTATAGCCCTTATCTGGATCAGGATAGAACAAACCAACTGTAACGAGACATTCGGGAGGCAGTTAGATTACTCCACTACCCATCTGTCAGTTCTTTATACAGCCGTGGTCTATTTGGCGCTGTGATGCTGGAAGCTATGCCACCAGCAAGATCAAATCCCAGCAGAATCACCCACGGTGGACACGATGGGTCAGCAGGGGTGGGAGCTGACTTAATGACCAACAACAGCAATTAGATGACAATCAGGAGTTATTGGCACTTTTGTTAGGAATGATAGTGCCTAGTGGCCACTACACTGTTCCGCGGGAGAAAGACGAGGCTTTCTGCTCCTGTAAAGATCTGCAGCCTCGGAAACCCTGTACAGGGTCACTATGAGTCGGAACCGACTCCACGGTACTTAACAACAACAACAACAGTGTGGATGTAAAAATGTCCTAATCATTTAGAGGTGCCAACGGAATTTTTAGGGTTAATTGCCACAATGCCTGGAATTTGCTTTATAAACACTCCAGAAAAAAATAAGGTGGGGGCAGGAGAAACAACTATTGCTGAGTTGAGCGATGAGTGTTTTCTTTTTCTGCATATGTTTGAAATTTTCCGTAGTAAAATTAAAAGCAGTCATATTATTCTCATTAGCATGACCTTGGGCAGTGACTCCCTCTTCCTGGGGGCTCCGTGTCAGATGGGCGCGCTGCCCATATGGGCGCATGGTACAGCGTCAGGTTCAGTGATAACACTGCCTCGGTATCCCGTGACACTCTGATCGTCTCCATGGCGACGCGCATTAGAGACCTGAGCCTCCTGGGGTCAGGGCCAGCCGGCAGTCACGCAGGATCAATTTCCAGAACCACGGATTTCCCTGAAGGATTCCTGCCACTGCTGCCACCTTGTGGCCGTGCCCAGAACTGCTCCTCAGCACACCGCCCTCCGCCTCTCGCGTTTCCCCTCTCCGCCACGCAGCGCAAAAAAAGCACGGAGTGCGCTTGTCCTCAGCACACAAGTCATCTTCCCCAGTCCCGAGGCCTGCAACATCGCAGTCACAGACGGTACTTGGGGAGGGGCGGGTGTGAGCAAACCAAACAACATATAGCACCCCTACAAGGAACAAAAAACAAACAATTACCAAAGGGTTGATGCTAACTCATGGAGACCCATGTGGGTCAGAGGAGGACTCTGCTCCCCAGGGTTTTCAGTGGCTGATGTTGAAGACGTAAGTCGCCAGGCCTTTTTTCTGAGGTGCCAATCTTTTCATGAGCCTCCTCTCTTGAAGACACTTACAGTGTGTCTAGGACCACTTGAGAATCCGGACTCCTGCAGAGCCTCAAAGACGTGGGTGGCATTTGAAAAGGAAGAAGGTTGTGCGCGGGGGCTACTGCGGACTTAATGGTCAGTTAGGCAGTCCAGTGGCACAAGGGGCCAGGCTCGTGCTGGGCCTTTGAAGATGTTGCCTTGTGGTCAGTACAACGATCAGGAAAGTAGACGGAGGCATCTCCAGGGACCGTGGATTCCAGGACGCACGGCAGAAGCTGGACTCACCTTTGAAATACACAGGTTCAGAAACACGTGGGCACGGTGGGCGGTGCAAACAGTGACGTGCTCGGCTGCTGACCACAAGCTTCAAGCCCACTCTTGCAAGAAAGGCCTTCTGGAAAATCAGCCACTGAAAATGCCCTGCAGCAGGTCAGAGCAGGGGGTTTACGACAGTGCGGTGGGCAGAATTCTAAAGATGACCCTCAGCTGCCTACCCCTCGCTGCTCCTCCCACCTGTCTACTGGGGCTGCTGTGAAGGGGCAGATGTCAGGGAGGGCCCAGGGCAGCTGACCTTCAGATTTGATTATCTGCTGGGCTTGACCTTTGCCAGCAGGCCTTTCCCTCGGGCTAGCAGCAGAAGGGGAATCAGAGAGCTTTTCCCATGGAAAAGATGGTTCTTCGGAAGAACACCAGCACCATAAGGGCCCCAGACGTCTGAGTTGAAATAAATCACTACAGGAAGAGCCAAACTTGGCTGCGGCGGTTTGATCCGTTGCACCAGGATGAGCGAATGCAAAATGATCAGCATTTCGCAGAACCTTTTCAACGCCATCAGGCACAACCCTCCTGAGAGGTGTGTGGCTCGGGTGCCGGCAGGGGGCGCTTCGTCTTGGCCCTGAAGTGGCCGCAGGCCCCGCTGTCCAGCAGGGGGCGACAGAGGACAGGAAGGAGACAGCAGCCGCCGTCTTCAGTGGGAAAGGAGTCAGGGCAGTGAGGCCGCAGGACAGGACGGGTGGTCTAGTTCGAAGCCTCAGAGTAACGAAGGAGCGTGAGAAGGAAGAGACTTAGACACCTGCACGTGCTGTCACAGGTGAGGGCACGCCTGCCCTTGATGCCAGAGATGCAACGAGGGCAAGTGCGCCTTGTGGGGCAGCGGTCACAAACGACCGCAAACGGCACCGTAGACATCTCGTCACTCAGTTCTACACACCAGGAGTCCTCTGAGGCTGGGCGCTGGGGTGTGGGTGTGTGTGGTCCTGGTGGCTTCAGACATTCCATGGCTCCCACCTTCAGGGTCAGCATGGCCAGTCCAGCTTCTCGGCTCCTGTCTCTCTCCGCCTTCTCACTTGTCTCGGGCCACCTGATAATCCGTAACCAGCTCCCTGTCTGTAGGGTCTTAACTGCACACCTTCAAAGAAAGACCCTAGTCCCCCAAACAGGCGACTTTTATAGGTACAGGGGGTAGGACTTCAACCTGGTTGGGTTATTTTGTTTTGTTTTTTGGGGGGAGGAGGTTGTTAAGTGTTGTCAAGTCAGTTCCGACCCATAGTGACCCTGTATAGGTTTCCAAGGAGCGGCTGTGAACTTGAACCACTGATCTTTCGATTCAAAGTGGCCTTGCAGTCCAGCCCACTAACCCGCAGTGCCACACCGGGGGTCGGGGGAGATACAGTCTAACCTATACCACGTGGTAGCCACTACCGTTCACACTGCTAACCGTTGTGAGAATGTGCAGTAGTCCCTGACCCTCACATCAGACACTGAGGGTCATCAGCCCCATGATACACATAGAGACCAAGGCTCAGAGGGGCCAGTTCATCTCTGTTCACCAAGGCCTCCCCCAGGTCACGGTCACCTCCCCCCCTGAGACCTTGGACACAGCTTCTGGGTTAGTATCAGTCTGAGGGCAGTGGGCCAAGGGAGTCACATGTTGGAGGGACAAAGCTCAGGCCCCAGCTCATGGACAAGCGCTGTAAGGGTGTTTCTTTCCTTCAGTTCCCGTCACTGCATGTCAGGGTCTTCTTCAACCAGGGCAGCAACCATGGACCCTCTCTCCATCTCCTACCCCCGCCCCTATGACCTCAGGGTTGACTGAGGGCTCTGTCAGAACGAGAAAGGCAGAGCTTGACTTCAGGAAATTGTCTCCTGATTGTGGGGAGCTGGCAAGTCTAAGATCTGTAGGCCAAGAAGAGTGTAGACGCCAATTCTCCCAAACATCTGTCCATCGTGGGGTGGTGGAACGCACTTAGGAGACTTCCTTTGCAACTAGACTCTGGCGAAACAACTGGGGACCACAGTCTCACCACGCTGACACACAAAACTAACCATCAC